TACCGCCACTTTTCTCACGACCCTGTCTGTAACACCAGCTTATGAAGCTAAAGCACATGAGAGCTACCTCTGTCTTCTTCCTCCCTCTTCCATTCCACCCAAAAGAAATAGGTTTCAGGTGGTTGCTCTTCCTAAGACAGCTCACTATGGGCCTAATGAGAGTCAGATGAAGAATCAGAGTGGTTTCCAGCCCAGCCTGCGGAGCAACAGTTTTCTGAGCATTGCCATATCCTTATCTCAGTTTCATTGGTTCCATGTGAAATATTAGCAGAAAATGCTTTCAGCTGAAGTTATTAGATTTGCTGTCATTATTTCTTCTTATTATTATATTATTATTTCTTCTTTCCACAGAAGAAATATTTGTGGAATAACCACAATTGAGTTAAAGTTCTTCTCAAAGCAAAACCAAGCTCAAATGTTTTTTTCAGGTGCACAACGCATGAAGCACCAGACTTATTATTACTTTTTCCTACAATTTATTATTGATTTTTCAAGTAATAAATGGAAGTGCAGATACACAACTGAAATATTTATATACATCCTTTGAAGTACAACAATTCCCTGTATTCGTACAGCAGTGGCAGACACCACCAGTACAGCCCACTGGAGCTACTCCAACCATCACATAAGGGAGAGCATTCAGCATTTAAGTAGTCACTAAAACTTCAAAGCTTGATTTGAATTATAAATGGTCAAGCATTAAAAAGTGACTGGACAATCTTCTATAGCATTTTACAGGCAGAATCTTACAATACAGTGTATGCTAGCTCAAAATTTTTGCATTATGCAAGTATAATTCTAAAAACAAGGAATAGTACAGGAATTACCTAGAAAACGCATGGACCTACTCATGGCTCTTTCTGTGTTTAATTTACTAGTGCATTTTCTTCCTAAAATGATCAAGCTGGCTAGGAACATAATATAAGATGTCCAAGGTATCACCTTCCTCCAGGGAGACATTTTAAGTACAGAGTAATCCAGTGACCTTCAGAAGGTCTTCAGTGTGAAGCAGAAAAGCCATTTACATCTATGCAGATGTACAACCCATGTTATGTATAAACCCACGCAATTGAATTGGTACCATTAGCATCTTTGTACTCATTTCTGCTCAGATGCAAGCAGATAAACAATAAACTAGGATACTGGAGAAGCAGGACCAGCATTTGCTATCGTGTAATTACATATGGTAAATAGACTGCTAACCTTAAAAAGATTCATAACCAACAGAAAAAAAAAAATAAAAGAAATAGGTTATGCATGCACTGAAAGCAATAAGTTAGTCATGCAAGTAGCTCTGCACTTAACTAAAGGCTCGAAAGATTTGAGCCAGAGTACAGTAATTTGAATCTGGATGCCTTATCTTAGGCACCCTGCAGTATTCATAAATTTTGACTTTAAGCTGTTATTTGATATAATAAAATAGCGTTAACGTTTCAGATGAACGTTCAGGGCAAGCTTATAAACTATTCAGTGATTAATGCCCTTGTCTCATGTTTTCAATTTTCATTGCTACTGGAGGTCATGTGTTATGATGTCAGCTTGAATCTGGATTTCCATTTTGAGCAAATCTAATTTAAAATTATAATACCAAGGCGTATGGTAAAAACTGCTTAAAAGTTCTATACTGAGTATATTTCTTCACTCTGTTACTAGGGTAGATTTCACATTCTAGTCTATTCATCAAGCAAACATAGTTTGGGTTTATCTTCCCATACAGTAAATACGCCATAGGTTGAATGTGCAGGACGAGAAGTCGTCTACACCGAGATGCAACAGAGTGCAGGGGTTTGCAGGACTGGGCCAATAATAGGAAATTAATCAAATCCCCAGAGCGCAACGTAAATTGAATCTGCCAAAAGGATGCAGGAGGAGGAAGAACAGGAGCCTTAAAAGAGCTCTGAGCTAGAAGGAGGCTTGGGGAGTATTTTCCTTCAGAGCGAGTGGGATGGAGAAGTTTCAGAGAGTCCAATACTAGTAAGGCACTCACCCCTTTATTCTGCACTGCTCAGCGGACTGGAGGATTCCCCACTGACTTGCAAAGAGCAGTTTTCTGAGACAGCTGAGCTCAGACAACAGTAGGTTGCCGCTGAAGGAACTCCTCTGCCCTCCTCTCCCAGTCCCACCCACACCCTCCTCCTATTTCCATTGGACTACCGCCACTTTTCTCACGACCCTGTCTGTAACACCAGCTTATGAAGCTAAAGCACATGAGAGCTACCTCTGTCTTCTTCCTCCCTCTTCCATTCCACCCAAAAGAAATAGGTTTCAGGTGGTTGCTCTTCCTAAGACAGCTCACTATGGGCCTAATGAGAGTCAGATGAAGAATCAGAGTGGTTTCCAGCCCAGCCTGCGGAGCAACAGTTTTCTGAGCATTGCCATATCCTTATCTCAGTTTCATTGGTTCCATGTGAAATATTAGCAGAAAATGCTTTCAGCTGAAGTTATTAGATTTGCTGTCATTATTTCTTCTTATTATTATATTATTATTTCTTCTTTCCACAGAAGAAATATTTGTGGAATAACCACAATTGAGTTAAAGTCCTTCTCAAAGCAAAACCAAGCTCAAAGGTTTTTTTCAGGTGCACAATGCATGAAGCACCAGACTTATTATTACTTTTTCCTACAATTTATTATTGATTTTTCAAGTAATAAATGGAAGTGCAGATACACAATTGAAATATTTATATACATCCTTTGAAGTACAACAACTCCCTGTATTCGTACAGCAGTGGCAGACACCACCAGTACAGCCCCCACTGGAGCTACTCCAACCATCACGTTAAGGGAGGGCATTCAGCATTTAAGTAGTCACTAAAACTTCAAAGCTTGATTTGAATTATAAATGGTCAAGCATTAAAAAGTGACTGGACAATCTTCTATAGCATTTTACAGGCAGAATCTTACAATACAGTGTATGCTAGCTCAAAATTTTTGCATTATGCAAGTATAATTCTAAAAACAAGGAATAGTACAGGAATTACCTACAAAACTCAGGAACCTCTTTCTGTGTTTAATTTACTAGTGCATTTTCTTCCTAAAATGATCAAGCTGGCTAGGAACATAATATAAGATGTCCAAGGTATCACCTTCCTCCAGGGAGACATTTTAAGTACAGAGTAATCCAGTGACCTTCAGAAGGTCTTCAGTGTGAAGCAGAAAAGCCATTTACATCTATGCAGATGTACAACCCATGTTATGTATAAACCCACGCAATTGAATTGGTACCATTAGCATCTTTGTACTCATTTCTGCTCAGATGCAAGCAGATAAACAATAAACTAGGATACTGGAGAAGCAGGACCAGCATTTGCTATCGTGTAATTACATATGGTAAATAGACTGCTAACCTTAAAAAGATTCATAACCAACAGAAAAAAAAAAAATCTTGAAAAGGAAGCATTTCTAAACTCAGTTTAAAACCTGTTTGAAGATCTAACAAGAAAAATAACACTTTTCTACAGGCACGGTAAGACAAAGATTTGAAACAGAACAGAAAAAATTAATAGCATTTTAATGGTCTTTAAAATTTCTATATACTATGTTCCTATAAAAATAAAGATTGGCATAGAGAGATTAGCCTTAATTCATTTGTTTAGGTTACAAGGTTTGGAAGATTACAGATAGCTTTTTATTTTCTTAATACCTCCACGCAACTTACTGGCACTTCAATGATAACGTGTCCATTTTTATAAGAAAAGGCTACAATTTTATTTTAAACTTAACAGGCATTCATTCTTTTTCCTTTCAAAACCTAGGCATAAGTAACAAAGCACCAGAGTCTTATAAATTTTCTAACACCAAATGCAAATTAAGTCATGAAATTACTCTAGGAAAAGTTCCAAGAATGCAAACCCAAAGGAATTTCAACACAATTTCTCAATTTCAGGCTCTTTATGATACTTGGGCAAGGTAACAGTATATGGTGCAGTCAGGAAGAACAATTTGTGTATGGAAAAATGTTTAATTACTGAATTTCAACAACTGCCTGTATTTTGTTTATAAGCTCTAAGATGAAATAGGTGTATATAAGTGGAAGAAACTGAAAGGATAGCAAGGCTGCTGTAGATTGAACAGCTCACAATGTTTTCATTACCTTGGAAAAGTGGACTGACAGTTCATAACTTCAAGGGTATCTTCCTAAGTTTTATAAACATCTATCAAATTAACTACTTGGAGTTGAGTGAACTGCTTACCTGCATTATACCAGTCTGCATCAGAAGTAAAATAAACACAATCCCACCCCATCATGTGACAAGGCAAAACTTCTCACATTTTATTTTTGTGGTCAGCTGTGACTATATGGCTTTACAGCACCATCTCCAGCAAATTGGGGCTTTTCTCATGATGAACAGAGTAATTACTTAATCTTTCAACAATCCTCCCGAAAAGCCTCAAATCCTTTTTCTTAAGCACAAGGCAGGAGTTTTAACAGATTGTTTATACAAAGAGCTGCTGATTTTTCACTCTGCAGAACTACTTCTTGTTTATCCCAGGGGAGACATCAGTCAAAGAACGACAACATAACTTGCTGGGCACACTATTATTTAGTAATAACCCCAAGAGTGCTAGGGACATTTCCTGAACATGAAGTTTAGGTCTACCAATGTTGCTCTGAAACTAAGAGATGAACAATGACAGGCAGCCTGCAGCAGAGTCATGCTGCTAAAGCCAGGTGTCAGAGGGCTGCTGGCTACCTCCAGCCACTTTTTCAGCTGGCTTCCATTTTACCATCAGAAGACAATTCTTTATCAATCCCTTCTTCAAAGACAATCTAGTTACCAAGAATTCAAAATAATAAGAGCATCCAAAAGTGCATACATGTGTCTTTCTCAAGTAGCCTGTTTGCTACAGGATGTATCACCTTGAACATCTCAAATTATTTCTCTTCAGCTTTTCAAAGTCTAGTTCACAAAGAGTAACTGTCCTCAGTGTTTACTTCCTGCTGGTGATTATTAACAACACTGGTCTTTATAGAAAGAAAATGACAACTCAGTCCTTACCTGAAGAACTCTTAATTTTCAAGAAATATTCTCGTCTCGCAGTTTAAGAAGATGGTGTAATCTGCAGCAGAACAGAAAGATATATCAACTACATTTGATACTGTGCATTTAACATTAGCATTATAATTCAATCACACTTGAGCAAACTGACAGGTAAAATTTTAACTACCTGTCATGGCACGTCTTTTATGGAGACACGTGTCAAACAGTAATTGTACAATATTGCATATCAACACTAATAAGAGATATCTTTTTCCTTCTCCAGTGTTTCTGCTCAGACATGGACATGTAAGACTTCTGAGCTACCTTTATGCATTACTCATAATGCTCATGGCTAGATAGATTAAATAACTAAGGTCCTGCTGACAATGTATTTCTTGTCACTAAACAACCCAATCAATTGAATTAGGAACTTCAGGAAGAGGTTCGTGATTGGACCCAGGTGCACTCAACTCCCATCAACTTCTAATGAGCTCTTCAGTAAAAACAAACAAACAAACAAATCCAAACTCCCTTAAAATGCAGATCTGATTGCATTCTAGTGAACACTGAGGGAAGTGTTATTGTTATTTAGCATCCTGAAATGCAGGATTAATTGCATCTTGAAATGAAATGTTTTGTTTGAAACACCATAAGCCCCTAGTTCCTATTGACCAAAAAAGACTCCCCATTCAAAAAGCAGAAGCCACACTATAAAAACATTCGAGTCAAGATAGCACACATTGCTGTGCACTTCATGTTACCTAAATAGGGACAGAAAAAGCTGTTTCTGTTCTAGAATTTTCTGGCATAACCATCCCAACAAATTTACTCCTGGCCTACCTAAACAGCACAGCACTGAGCCGAAAGCCAGGAGAAAAGAGCAGAGGTAACAGTATTTTACTGCTCAAATATCTGAAGGAACCAGTGTTGAGCCTTTGTTCTCGGTGCTGGTTCTCCAAACTGAACAGGCAACCACAAGCCTCAAGTTACACTTCATTGATCCAGGGAAACTGAGCTGGTGTTCAGTTTCGGTTCTGCAACCTGCACGTTGACCTGCTTGTTTGTTGGCCTAAACAAGAAGATTTCAGGAAATGAAGAATTTGCACTTTGTCCAAGTCTCATTTTCAGAGAGGGGGATCTCTGTCTCGGACGTTTAGGTTGGTGCGGGAAAACTGGGAGGAAAGCCAATCATCCAGATCCGGACTCTTGCACTACATTCCTTCACCAAGTTAATTCCTGCTCTGAATTCAATATGACCAAAATCAAACACAAACCTAGAAATGGGAGGTGGTCTCATCAAGTTTAAATTCCTTTGGCATAACTTTTTGTTACCTCTGGTAAAATGTACGTAGGAACAAGACAGGGAGATTACAAAGTTTGTTTAGTAATATTTTAAAACCATATATTCACACTTTTGAAAGGTTTTATACAGTCAGCCAATACAAAACCAAAACCCAACTGTCTGCACTAAAAACACACCGTTTATATAGCAATTTGAAAAATTTATGTAAGATGACATTAATAAGATCCACAGTAATGGAGTGTTACAGTCTAAATATAGAAATAACCTATCTGAAAACAACAAAAAATTGTTTCTTTAGTATTCTCTATAAACTAACTACATTCCTTGATAACTTTTCATTAAATTATGTTACAGATTAAAGTTGCTCAAATGTGCAATGCAAGAATTTAAGTTTGGGACTTGAGAGAAAAATCTTTGTTTCCATCGTGCCATGAAAAGTTTTCTGCAAAGATGCTGATAAGATGACATAGCTTAACCACCCACCCACTGCCCAAAAACCCCATACAATATAAATCACAGAGAAGAAATTTTTGAGAAACAATGTTCACTTCTCTAATGAAAGTAAGGAACACTATCTCATTGTATTCTTGTATGGGAAATAGAAGCCTAGAGTTTCAGTTATTTGCTTGAAACCATACAAGAAGAAGTATAATCTAATGCCTAACTTGATTCTAGTATGAGCTGCAGTATTATCTTGTCTTCCTTTTAAAGCTTGCATAGTTTTAAAGTCCTGTTGGATTGCAACCTTGCTTTATGCCTCCAAACAACATTATATTTATTGTGGCTAACTGATTTGCCTGATTCCTCATCCCCATTCAGAGGAACGTCCTGTTTAGAAAGAAAATCTAGTGCTTCTGGACTTTAGGTTGAGGATAGCCTTTGCTCAGATGTGATGGGTAAGACCCTTGTTTCTTTTAGGGTGTTATTTCCTATATTAATATTTTCACAAGCCTAATGTTCCTAATGCACTTTTTCTTGTTGTTGGGGTTTTGTTTTTTGAACAAAGACTTTGGAGGTCGTTCCCTTGGTTTTGCTTTAAATTAACCTCAAATAAAAAAGCTTGTGAGATTCACATTTATACCTCAGAAGCCAGTTCTTGATATTTTGCAGCTATTTTTACCCAGCAACATCCAAAAAATGCATATATGGCACAAGTTTATGCGAGTGCTCCATTACAATAAACCATGATCCTGAAAAAGTCAAAAGGGCCAAAAATTCATCACATTAGTATCCTTATTGTCTATCCTGAACACAGAGAACTCTCCATAGCAACAAATGCTGTCTCCAGTGACAGTGACCATGCTCTGTTCAAAAATCCCCTTTTGCCTGCCTACCTAAGTAAAGGAACCTAAGTAGGTTCCTTTTCTGAAGTACCAGGTAGCCTTTCTTTTACATGAATATCTCCACTTCAGAACACAAGAAAAGGAGATGGTAGAAAACTGAGGAGAAGTAGAAACCCAGCTAAGACAGTGGTTTCTTTTACAGTTCCTTCAAAAGTAGCAAGACGAAATATAAAGTTTCGCCTTCTTATCTAGAATATGTAAATTTTTCAGATTCTGATCTCGTGCTGACTTCCAGCGACAAGAGCATCATGGCTGCATCGGGAGCTGCCGCTGGCCATCTGCTTTACACTGATAATCAGATCTGGGTCATCTCACCTTTAAATTTGCCACCCACATAAATTAACAGATCACCCACAGTAGTGCTTGTGCTGACTGAAATCTAACTTACAGGCATAAAAATATTTTTAGCCTTTTCCTTTCCCCCCACTGACGTGAAACTTACCTTCATAAGTGAAAGATACCTTCATAAATGAAAGATAAATTCTTTATATTTGCTCTTTCATTTATGGATCAGAGGAACACCCATGCAATATATTTACCCCTATGTCTATGGAAAATAAACTAAATATTCTTCTAATGTGTATAGTACTAGAAAATTGTAATAGCTAATAAGCTAAAAGCTAGTAAGCGATTAAAATACAAGCAACGTATTTTCCATTATTCAAATATTACAGATATGTGCACCTAACACTATATTCAACATAATTACAAGCATTATAGTAGTCGCATGAATATGCACTGCCTAATAATTACTTTGGTGGGTTTATAAACGTCACGATCCATAAGATGTCTGTGTACATCCTCCTGGAATGTAAGGATTTCAAAACCCAGAGAGCAGAAAATACATGAATAGCATACAGTGCCAAATTGCCACGTTCCAGTACCCACTGCACTATTCCCTTATGCTCATAACCACTGGTATACTGGGTGTCACTGGGAGGTAGCTGTGCTCTGCTCGTTCAAATCAAGCAAGTCCTAACAGGAAGAACAGTCCAGTAACACCAGCAACTCAACACGGAGTTCTGATTTTGAATAAATTCTAGCAAGTTGTTCATGGCTGAAAATAACAGCCGGGGATCCCTGAATGTTTCAGACTAATTGCCGGATGCCTTTCAACCTCAGAAAAAAGTGAAAGTGCAAAACCTGACCCTTGTTGTTCTGAATACATACATGCTGCATTACTGAACTCCAAAGCGGCACCTCAACCAAAATACGACGTGCCGAACACAGCTTTAATACAAAAAGCATGAAAAAAGACAGCACTGCTAGACGACTTAAACAGCACATACCAGCTTATGTCCACAACTCCAAGTCACTGCAACTGCTGGCTCATCCACATGTATGCAACTCAGGTACATTTCCCATGTCCTCTACCACTGTTTTCTTAGTCGCAAAACCCACAAAAGAAATAAAATATGACACGTGGAACCAAAGTTTTGCATTCAGTTTATAGCTTTAGTATTCTCTCTCACCTCTTTTCGTAACTAACTTGTTTCAGACTTACAGTATAAGGAGTATGTGCCAAAAGACAACAGATGACAAGTCGGCAGAAGCAAAAGATACTTCCCGTGTGGGTCTGTGCTTACAAAGACATATAACTGAGGGGCTCAGGTCTACAGGATCAATTTAATGTATTTGATTTCTACAAGTGAGTAGTTCTTCAGTGGACAACAGTCACCCAGTTGAACCAGTAGGATGTCCTTGCTTTTCAATGCTTATCTTCTCAATGTCTTAGAGGAGGTTTGACTATGAGCAAACACTACCCCTTCCAGATGTGCTCAACAAAATTCTGCAGTTCTGGGCCACCTGGCGTGATCTGGTTTACATTTATAACAGGAACTATCAGGGTTTTGGAGCACATCCCTCATGGGAACAAAAACGTAATAGCCTCCAGTCCATGGCCAGATTTCCCTAATTCGGGGGTTTATTTTGCATGCCCCGAGCACAGTCAGGGTGTAAGGGGCAGGAGGCTTTCAGGCTCTTCCAACTCTGATACTACAGATATACCTAAAGGGACGAAGAACTGATTTGGTTCCAGGTGTATCTCCTGCATTAAACTTGCATGGAGGAGCAAACCCAACAGGGAAGTCATGGGCAGCAGGGACATCAAGAATTTATTCCTCCCTGTAAAAGAGAGGCAAATTTTTGGACAGGGTGCTGGCTGCGAAGCCAAGCTTCGTATTACAAGCAAGGAAACTGCTTCCTGTTGTTTGATCTTCCCACATTAGGAAAAGACCACTTGCTAAATATGGCATCAAAGACATTCTTATTGTCATCATTACTTCCACCTGTCCCATGAAACACAACTCCAAATACCAGCTAAAACCTCACACCATGGGTGGCAATGGCGTGTGCACTTGATTTGATGCTACGACATGAGCAGTCTCAGGCACATCCTGAGGACTATTTTGCATGAGATGCTGCTCTGGCATA